TCGTTTGACCACTACTGCCTCGTTTTCAACCTGACCGTATGTCAGCTAACACTGACCATTGTCGAGGAAGGCGATGACTACGTATGCATGTGTAACACATGTCCTAACCATCTCACTCCAATGATGTAGTTTCACAACCTCGTCGATTGATTTACCCTCCTTACCAGCACTTGACCGATGCCTAGCCTCAATATTGCTCACCCTATTATTCCACTTCACTCGAGAAATAGAACGCAGAGACCTATGCTCAAAGACAACTAACCTTTCGATGTACTCCAATTCCAACGGCCATGTCTCACTGACAGTCATAAGGGAGGACAGAGCGGACTGCTGAGCCGTACACACGCCCTTTGGTCGACATCCAGCCGGATATCACGTCTACACCAAAGACGGCGTAAACTGGCATATGCGGAGCCGTTTAAAATCATATTGAATCAATGTTGTCGATAGAATACACTTCGAAAGCATCAGTAATAAAAGGAGATAATATGCAATGATGTAACACTAAACTGACTGAATATATCAGAATCTGCGAGTTTATAGGTTTGACAACAGGCTAGGGTAGCAATAGTGGCTGGTTGGACCTGATTCTTCTACATGCAGAGCTGCAGTTAGTTAAAGCGAATCACAGCAGCCTCTTCTGTTTAAACTGTTCGGTATCCAGAGGCCTTTGGTAGTCTTCTCGACATCCGGCAGATAATGGATAAAGATTCTTCAATGCTAGCTAGCTTTATAGCCTGTCTGGATCAGATGATCAAATACAGAATTGTTGATGGTTTTAACAACATCTTTATTTAATCATACTGGGAGGTTTATATTATCTATCTCTTACTGATGCTTTTGACACGTAATCCATTGATACTATTGATTCAATGTAATTTAAAATAGCAATAAGTTTGCTAATAAGAATATTTCTTTGATAATAATTACTGTTATATAAATGTAGAACGTGATGAGGAATTTATCAAAAAAGAATATTCAAAACACGTACAATATTCAAACACATTGTAGCATTCCAGTGCTGAAGAGAAATACCCATTAACAGTCTTCAAAAGGAATGAATACTAATAGAATTTCATCAACAACAAAAATATTTAAACTCAAAGCATAATACCAACAAGAGATCGGCCTCAAAAGCTACAAGGAAATTCATTCTACCATACATATAAAGAATATCTCTGAAATAACGGCTAGAATGCTAAAATCATTCGAAAAAGAAATAGCAGACAACATAACACAGTTTCTTCATTCAATATTGTACAGAACAAAGGATCCAACAGGAAAAGAAGATAAGATCGATATCGTTTACAAAATAAGTTGTATAAACTGCGATAAACAATACATCGGTCAAAGTGGGGGTCCCCTACGACTCAGAATCCAAGAACACAAATTAGCTGTGAAAAGATACCACATGTATTCTTTCATTTCGATGCACGGATGCCGCTTTGATTGGGAAAATGTAGAAATTGTAAACAGAGGGAACACCAAAAATACTGCCAGGGAATTTTTTGCAACCTGGTACTCAAATGAATCAGCGATTAACCAACACATAGACGCTAAAGATCAAATTTATCAACTAATAAGGAATAAATTGACTGGGCACTAGTAACTAGTGTGGTGTGTCCAGCTAGTCCTCTGTTTGGTGCAGACTGAATTCCATCAGTCAGGTTTGAAATGTGGCCACCATTCTAGGTAGCTTGCCATTACGGTGAACATTGATTTGATGATATTGGATGGTTGGAGGCAATCGGCAGGAAGCCTTCCTTGACTTAGGTTTCTCGTGCTAGTTGGCACTCACCAGTCAGCAAGGTGTATTATCTGTAACCTTGGAGGGACTCATGTGCCTTCTGAGGTTCGAAGGCGAGTCACCCAGTGCTGCAATCACAGACTTTGCCATTGAGCTATTCAGGCTCGCAACTGACCTCCTATAGAACTGTATTGGATTTTTTGAATGGACACTAGGAACTAGTGTGATGATGCGTCTAGTCTTTTGTTTGGAGCAGACTGAATTCTATCAGTCAGGTTTGAATCTCAGAAGAGACATGAGTTCCTTCAAGGTTGCAGATAAGCTTTGCTGACTAGTGAGTGCCAACTAGCACGAAACCTAAGTCAAGGAAGACTTTCTGCCGATTGCCTCTAGCCATCTAATAATAAGGAAAAAATCACACGACAAGAAAGTTCAAATCCCAAATCAATAAAGATGTAAATTAGCAACCGACCACGACAATGTCTGTCAGGAGATTCATGGAGAATTCAAATAAGTACATTTCATATCAAAAAAAAACCTGTGCCGAAGATGTTGTCTAGCTGAGGAGACAACGAAAGCTTCGCAGCTAGAGATCAACCAACTGCAAGAACACAACCAAATCACGAGTATTTTCTTTGTTCATTAATCAGCCGTCTTTTAAAACTTCTTTAATGGGCATATATATAGACAATCCTAAGGGTTAGGTAGAACAACACAACGAAAATCAATATATTATTATTATTATTAATACCATCATCATTATTAGTATATGACAAATAAAATTTTAGGCACAGAACCTTACAGGAAAAAAAATAAAAGCCATTGGTTTGTTTGTTATTTTAAAAAATTTTTTTTTGGAAATAAGCACGTAAAATACTCGTGATGAAAAAAAAGTCAATACAGTTTGACCATAATGTGTGTACAGTATTCATATACATATATATATATATATATACGCGTGAAAACAGTAAAACCAGTTGGAAAATGCTGCATAAACAAATGAAAATGGCGGGACAGTTGTCTTGTCAACACAAAAATCGCACACACTCACTCATGTTTACACATAAACAAACAAATAAATAAATAAAGCGGGAAATATAACACTTGCGCGTATTTTAAATGAAGTTATTTACACATACGCACACATTAGCAATAAGATTCTTCAAGTACTTATCCCATTTAAGAAAAAGAAAGTGGAAATAAGACCACAGAAAGTAAAAAAGGATATAACATTGACATCCAAGTGAATGGTTATTCAATCTATAAAAAAAACGGGGAAAAAACAACAGAAATACTGACTGGTTTAACCGATGGTTAGTAGTGACTTCAGCAAAAAGAAGGAGGCGAAACGATAACAAATCCATTCCGACCTTTTTCTGAAACCATTTATATTATAGGTATCAACTTTGAAATAAAAGGGTTCGCGGGGGAGGGGCTGCGGTTGTTGGCATAAAAATAATGTTCATTGATACGTGTATAAGTAAATAAGTAAAAGTGGATGTGAGTGGTGGGTGTTTGCTTGAATATGATCATATCAATGGAATCGAAACGAAGTTGTTTATGACAGTTGAAGCCGTTTTTTTTATTTTGATAATTACTTCTACAAATAAACAAACAAACAAATCAATCAATAAATAAGTAAACAGAAAAATATATATCTATATTCCCTTCATGTTTATCTTCTTAAAATTTGTTTACTTGTTACTATGCTAAGCATACAGAAATGAGGAAAGTAAACATACATTGTGTAAGTAGGTAAGCAAACAAGCAGGCAAGCCTTGGTCTACACTGTGAACAACACACTTTCAGAGACGGATGTAATGCTGGCCAAATCGGAGGAAGATTAAGAGGCGGGGGGTGGTTCCCTTGGTTTTTTTTGTATGATTTCAAAACTAAAATAAAAACAAAAATTACATTTGACAGTTTCGTTTTATACCTCAAGAAAGACAGAAACATAAGGTTATAGGATGAACACAAACACAAATATATATATGCATGCGGCAGTTTGATCCGACAAACCGACAGACTTTGACCAGTACATATACACAATAACTTGATGAAAAATAAAAAACAAAATTAAGAAAATAAAAATAGTCAATGAGCCAACAAGGAGAAAGTGATTAGAAAAGTCAAGGGTACGCGCGCGAGAGAGAGAGACGGAGAGTGGCATGAGACGGGACAAAATAAAATTGATCGATTGATTAACTTAAAATATAACCGAGGAAAGATAAAAAAGAAAGAAGAAGAAGAAACTGGAAGCACATTTGATGATTCGGAGTTTTGTCATACTGTTCAACTGAAAGCAGAAATTGTAAAAATTATTATTATCAGTAGTAGTGGTGGTCGTGGGGGTATACACGTTCATTGTTTGAGACAAAAGAAAAACAACACGACAACAACAACAGTAGCATAAAGGAGGAAGAATGGAAAACACAGACAGTTAAGTCACATTTTGTTATACTGTTTGTCTGTCTGACTGACTGTCTCCTGTCCCCACACCCTACACACCCCGTGTAGATAGTATATGGATGATACTACAATAGGTGATGACAAAAGCAGCAGTGAAAGTGTGTGTGTGTGATCAAAAGCATACGGAACACACCTACATACATACATACACAAACAGGACAGTATTGTAATAAAATTCACGAATATACAGTTGTGAAAGACAATAACAAAAAAAGTAGAAAACAAAGAGTAGATGAAGACGAAGTAGAAGTAGAAAGGTAAAGAAAGGCATCATCAAGGAGAGTCTGGTCTCATTCTACCTGAATATACACACATAAGTGAAAACACACACAATGGTGACAAGTAAAATGAAGCGAAGATATTTTTTTGTTCTATTAAACCCGAGTAATAACTGTATTCGTCAGTTTTATATCACAAGACAGACAAACAGACAAACAGACCGACAGCGAGAGAGTGAGTGAGAGTGAGAAATGCTTCTTTTCTGTAAAATAACCCCATGTATATATATGTGCATGTATGTATGTATAAATAGCTTTCAGACGCGATATTCCATTGTTGTCCGGCAGGACAATCATCAACTCATAAAACAATTTAATATAAATAATCTGTGTGTAAATAAAAAAAAGAAGAAAACGAAGAAATGCAGTACACTTTCAAGTACATTTTTGAAGACACTTTTCAAAAGGAGAGATTACAAAGCAAGTGAAACGCAGGTTATCTATCAGTTTTCGTCGATAAGTGAAAAATACAAATAAACATACAAACAAATAAAGAAAAGATTATATTATTCCATACAATTATTATCGTTATTATTGTTAGTGTTATTATTGTTATTACTGTTATTGCTATCACATTGTATATTGATCAAATCTGATGAGCACAGGTTTAAACAAGAATCAATAGCTTTCAGTTGACGTTTAATTAGAGCATAGACTTCGTATTTTTCACGTATTGGTTCACGTTCTGTTCGAGTCGGTTTACGACCTAATAGAAATGGCAGAAAAAAATATGCGAATAATTGTTAAAGACAAATAATAATAATAATTAGAATGAAGAGACTCTAAAAAAAGGTTACAAACTAGCTAGATCTAGCAATGGGCTGCATAGACGACCTGGTACGGAGCCTCTCGCAATACTCTCATGTGCTAGGTATATTATTATTATTATTGTATCCTTTAATTCCTAGAGGAACATAGGGCTTCAGCCGTGCGTCTCTATTGCTTGCGTTCTCTGCTAGAGTCTTCACCTGGCTCCATGTCTGCCCATACGTTTTCATCTCCTCTTCACATGACCTCCTCCAAGTCACCCTTGCACTGACGACCAACTCACCGCTTCCCATTCTGTCGGGTTCCACTCGAGCAATGGCTTGTCTAGTGATGTCACTTGATGGTTTCCTCAGAGTATAGCCAGCCAATCCATCTCCATTTCTTCCTGCCTATTTGTTTCACAATCGGTTCCTGGTTGGTTCGCTCTTTGCCAGAGATCTCTGTTGCTGATCTCTTCTGGCCGGCCATCTGATCTTGAGTATTGAGCGAAGACAGCTGTTAATGAAGGTCTGTAGTTTGTTTGAGATGCTTTTTATGACGCGCAGTGCAAATCTCTGATCCATATAGTAGCACTGACTTCACATTGAAGTTGAAAAGCCGGATATTATTTTTGATGCTGAGTGTTGTTGACCTACACACAGACTTGAGAGAAATGAAAGCTTGTCTTGCTTTTCCGATTCTTGCTTTGATATCCTCGTCAGTTCCGCCTGTAGTTGAAACGATGCTTCCCAGGTAGGTAAAGGAGGTTGTTTCTTTCAGGTTCCTCTCATTTCTGCTGATTGTTGTCAGTTGTTGTTGTTGCTGTTGGTGGTATTGCCCAGGAATTTTTATCACCTCTGTTTTATCTATGTTCACCTGAAGTCCTACCTTTGATGCTTCTTCTGCTAACTTGTTCTGCATGTTTCTTCTGCATGTGCTAGGTAAGTCAGTTCAATTCGACACTAGCTTAAGGCGACGGGGTTGTTCCTAAACAAAAGTGAAAGGGCGAATGCAAGTGTCTCGAGTTCACGACCAAATTGGTAGACACATGCAGGTCTAAAGGGATTTGAAAAAGCCACATTGCAAACCTATGGTGTATGCATAAGCTCCAGAATTTGAACGGATCGAATGACGCATCATAGGAAACTCCATGGGAACATAACACATAGCAGTTCGAATCAAGGGATCAGGGCATGGCTCTTTAATATAATTGCCTGCTTCGGTTTTGGCATCCAGGCAGTATCGCACACTTCATACAATGCATGCGATTTTGTATAGCGCATATCTCAGGACCTACATAATGTACCAAGTTTGTCTTTTGATAATGTAACAACAAAATCTAGTGATACTCCATGATATTTCAACTACAGGCGGAGTGGATAAAGATGTTAAGAACAGAATCGGAAAGACAAGGTATACCTTCATCAATCCGACATCAGTTTGAAAATTTCCCACACTCGGCATAAACAACAAGATTCGGATTTTCAACACAAATATTAAGTCAGTTCTTTTATATGGTTCAGAGACTTGGCCTGAGCGTCACCATATGCATTTCCGCTGGCCTGCTGCAGACTTTTACTAAAAGCTGACACCTTCACTGGCTCCATCCATGTTGAAGATCAAATGACCAGGAAGAATCAGCAAGAAGAAACTCTGGGAAAGAACCAATCAACAACCTACTGCTCAACAAACATGCAGAAGGAAGTGGAGATGGATTGGGCCCAGGCTGAGTAGACCATTGGGTGACATCATGCTCAATGCACACCATCGCTCGAGTGGACGAGTTGGGCATACCTCTAAGACTGACATGAAGGAGAGACTGTGAGGATGAAATGAGAGAACATGGGCAATCACTGGGTCAGCTGAAGAGGACCGCTGAGAATAAAGCAAATTAAAGATGTTCTGGTTGAAGCGTTATGTTCCCCACTCGGAACCCAAAAGGACAATAATGATGATAATAGCAATAGTAATCCATGATAATTCAGGTTGCCATACTCTGCATGGTAACATTGTTGTAGAGGAGAGAGAGAGAAGTGAATACATTAGATCAACGAATCAGCTTCGTTGCAATCGATATAAGGCTATCAATATAAAAAAATCTTCAGATGTTGGTTTGTAGGGATTTGATTGGTTACAGGATTTCATTATGATCTGATATCGGTTAGAGAAACACTGGAAAATTTGGGAGTACTGGGCAGCTGTTTCGTCCTAGTTTGGGACTCTTCATCAGTACACACCCACCGGGGTTGGAACCAGGACCTTCTGGTTATAAGGCGAGCTCGTATAACATTAAGCCACTGGGACCCGATCCAATGGCCCATGAATTCTAACTTCTGCCAATTCACGACATAGCGCGACCCTTAGCCAATGCCTTCGGCAAGTATTTGTTCTCACTCCCGTCCCAGCTTAATGGTATACGAGCTCGCCTTGTAACCAGAAGGTCCTGGGTTCGAATCTAGGCGGGTGCATACTGATGAAGAGTCCGAAACTAGGACGAAACGGCCGTCCAGTACTTTCAGGTTTTCCAATGGCTCTCTAACTAATGTCAGCTCACGATGAAATCCCGTAAAAAAATCTATCATGTAGTTTAAGGTGAGTTGGTGATTCCACGGTAGGAAGTTCACCAACCAGGGTGGATTCTCGTCCAATTCACTTTTAAACCTCGCCGATATCAGGCTTGGAAAGGAGTGAAGGTGTGGCGTGAAGCTAGCAGCCACACTCCGTAAAGACAATACCACCTGCAATGAAACTTTTAAAAACCTGAAGGCCTCTATGTTCAAATCAAAACATGAAGGAATGGGATACAGGAAACAGCATAACTTAATAAGGGGGTAGTAGGCAAGCATTAAACGCAACTGAAGCAGTTATTTTTTTTCTCAAAGCTAATTTCAGAATGCGAGCAGTCAGATTTAAGTGCTTATTTCGAATGTTATCAGAAACAATAAGAGTTGCTTACAAGAACTAATAGCTGAGGGACTATATTTTCAAAATTTGCAATGTATACAGCTCGAGTGGTGAAATTTCAGCGTAGTTTCCTTTGGAAAACAGGTTATTCGGATCACCACAATATGTGATCTGCTTGCTACTACAAATGGTAATCAATACATCAAGTAAATTTATAAGAAAAACTATATACTACTGATTGATTGGGATGAGTAGTTCCATACCACTCATATCAGCCAGTAATGCAACTACTCACCTCAGTCAGTCAGTAGTATATAGCTTTATGCCAACATTCTTGCTGTATAAACTACCATTTGTAGTAGCAAGCAGATCACATATTGTGTGTGATAGGAATAACTTGGTGTCCGAAGGAAACCATGGTGAGATTTCGCCACTCAAACTGATAACATTGCTAATTGCTAATGAGTTCACATATTGTCAAATTGATTTAAGGCATGGTCAAATCGACTAAGCAGTTAGCCAGAAATCGCGTGGTCTGAACTGATTGGGCACTCTGAGCTCAGTAAAACCGAGTACACCGCTGTTGAGCTAGGCCCCAAACGAGCATCTGACTGACTGGTTTTAACATAGACCTTTGCAGAGATGTGCAGTAGTTCAAGTCACCACACTTCACTCAGAACACAAAGCCGGAGAAGAAAGTAAAAAGAAACGCAAAATAGAGACAGTAAACAGAGATATAAGGCAAAAAGAATAGTAATATCGAATAACAATATAGTTTCATTGGGAATCATAAGTCACAAAGAGTGGATGCATCTGCGCCAACCACTGAGAACGATTTTGAGACATATCACCGATTGTCTCCAGCCATTTGGTGTTTATTGCCCTGAGAACCCCAACCAGTCAGGAAGTCTACACCTCTTTACGTGGCTAATTGGCTTAAACTAACTATTGTTGATTTCATTGACTGATGAAGCCATGTTTTCGTTTCACCATCACTGGCTCTTTTCCAACCTCGTCGATCCTATATCAGCTAACATTGACCATTGTCGAGGAAGGCGATGGCTATGCATGCATGTGTAACACATGTCCTAACCATCTCACTCAGTCGATGTAGCTTCACAGTCTCGTCTATTGATTTCCCCCTCCTTACCACTTCACACGGGAGATAGAATGCAGGCACCAAATGAGCGTAGCGGCCGTTCGTTGTTTAGGCCACTTCGATCTGGCTAGCTGGCCAGCAAGTACATGCTAGTTGTTGATATAAGTGGTAGGCAACTACTCATTTAAATCAATCAGTACTATACGGTTTTATACAAACTCTACACTGAAACTGAATTATACTCCACATAGATACTCTTTTTAATATACACATAAACCTGTTTTAAATTGTATTTTACAGGTTCTAAAGGAAAAAAGGGAAAAAGAAGTCGATTTCAATACAATACAATATAAACAGCATATTTCGTTTAAATGGGACATTTTTAAACAACTGTTCAATTCAGAAACAGAGTATTTATTGCTCTGCAAACGAATTAAAATAATAATAAAGAAATAGTTTTAAGACAGATGCTAATAATGGACTTCGCTCATTTTGTTTCACATTTTCTTTTAATCTGTTTGATTAATGCTATTAATACTATGAAAGAACAAAAAGAAAGTTTTTTTTTATTTTTGAAAATGATTTTATAAAAAAAAGCATAATTAACAAGATACAAAATGACACAGTAGGAAATATAAAAATAGGCACTTGCACAGGTGAGCCGAGGCGTGGAGAGGGTGAGAAATATTCACTTTTTTTAATGAAATGAAATGCATGTCAAATTAGGTGGTGAAATACAAGTAAAAAAACAACTTATCTAAAGATTAATTAATGCTAAGATCTATCCCTATTTAAAATCTAGTGAAAGAGCCACTGAGAAAAAAGTTACGTTGTTGTTGGACAGCTGCTGTGTCCCAAATTGAGACTATTTAACAGTGTTTGCATCCACAAATAACTGACAAATCATCAGGATACAACACATTTAGCACGTTTTCGCTCTGACCTACTTTGTTGAA